CCTCAGGTTACACTTTTCCTGCTTCTCCCTCAAGCACAGATCTCATTTCCTAATTTTGTTCCAGAAACAAGGGACATACCGCATGCAGTGGCTGACGCCTGTAATCCAAGCACTTTCGGAGGCCAAAGCAGGTGGATTAACTTGAAGCCAGGAGTTCAAGACCAACCTGGCCAACATGGTAAAACCCCATCTCTACTAAAACACATAAACACACACACACACACACACACACACACACACACACACACACACACAATCTGGCAAGGCACAGTGGTATACACTTGTGGTCCCAGCTACTCAGGAGACTGAGGCCTAAGAATCACTTGAACACAGGAGGCAGGGGTTGTCCTGAGCTGAGATCACGCCACTGCACTCCAGCATGGGCAACTGGCTTGAGGGAGACTGTCCCCCGACCCTCCCCAAATAAAAAACAAAAACTAACAAAAAACACAAGAAGAAACACAGAAATTCCATTCCACATCACTCAGATACAAAATGGCCACTGGAGAACCACAGTGAAGAAAAAGTTAACAAAAGATACACTGACTGTCAAAGCCATCCTTTTAAAATTATTGTTCAAGGCAGCGTAGCTTCTCATTGGTCCACCAACTTCAAACCGTGCCATGTTTCAACACAGAATGAAACATCTGTGCTTGTCTAATGAATCTTTGATAATTTACAGCATTCCAAGCATGAAATATACATATGAGAGACAGACAGACAGCATCCTGTCTCCCGCAAGAAAGCAAATAAGCCATAAAAGCTAGCCATCCTACTTACTTTCTCTGTAACTACAAAGGGCCAAACTTTTATTTTTCATCTGTTACTCTAGAAAACTTATTGGACTAAAGTCTAAGCTGCTTCCTTATGCCCTTTTAATAAAGCCAGCCACAGTAAAGAAAACCCAAATTAGCGGGACGTCCAGAGCTCTTTGCCACTGGGATTCACAGCAGCCTTTGGACAAGCCATTACGGTTGTCTGGCTCCAGCCCTCTTCCCAATAACCACCACCCCCTTTCTCGCCTACCCCACACCACCCTCCAAGATCAAAAGAGGCACTTACTGTTTATAACATCCTGAGCAATCCAGGAATCTCGAGAGGCTTTTGTTGCCTTTCCCACCCCTCATTGTTTCTGATCCAAAAAATGTTTTTTAATGAGACAAGCCAGTCCTGACACAGTCACACCGGTGAATCCGGCATACCTCAAATGACAATCCTCTGAGATGCCTTGCAAGGAAAAAGGAGGGGGGGTGCCTCCAGCGAATGTCAGAACAAGAGCGTGTGGTTCCCAGCCTGCTCACTACCAGAACCGGTACAGCTGTGGGCTACAAAGGCAGCTTTGCTCCAGGTGGCAGCAACCACCTTCACCAAAGCAAAACAACAAAACCTGGAAGTTCTTGCTGGACATGGAGAGCATTCCAGGTGCCCGAAAACAAAGTCCTGCCTGTTTGATGTAGACAGCTATGTGCCTCATCCCCCTGCACCTCCCCTGCTGTCTCCCTGTTCTTCTCCAATCGCCTACATGTAATATGCTGGCTGGATCCACGTGTCCTCCAGCTGGGCCTTGGAGTTCAGCTTTCCCTTTGAAGTTTAAATACAAAGGCAGAAGTCCTATTTGTTTAATCATTCTTATTCTCACAGCTGACATATTCACTAATCTGGAACAAACTCAAATCCAGCAACTTCAGTGAACCCCAGTGCCAGAGCAAACAGACTAACCTACCTCCCTGTCTGTCCTTACCTCATCTGCTGGAACTTGCAGGCACTGCTGGCCAGCAACAAGCACCACAGAAGACAGGAGGCCTAAATACACCAGTTTTGTGGGAGCAGGTCTGCTGTTAAAGAAACAAACCCTGAAGGGATCAGCGTCTCCCAACTCAGCCCTCAATCGGCTCTCCATAGTCCAGCTGCGTGCAGCACCACCCAAGGGTGGATCCACCCTGAAGATGAAGGGTGTGCGGCTAAAACAAAAACAAAGGCAGCCATGGTATTTTCTGAGATTCGAAATTCTCAGCAAGAGAAACTCCAACTAAACCCCAAGAAGGCTCATTTCAGAACCAGCATCTCCAAGACACGGAGGGCACCTTCTGGCGGTAGATTATGGACCCATCAGTTACATGGTAAGCACTCAGGTTCAACCTCCCTTTAACTTCAAGAGGCTAAACTCCACGTTTACTGAAGTCAAAGGTAAAAATTTCCTAGGGAGTTTTGAGGGAAATTACTCTTACCACAATGTTTACTGAATACCCCAGATTTCAAACAAAAGGGTATTTCTACCTGCAAATCTATGCATCACTTTTAAACGACTCTCAGTTACTCAAAACCATATCCATCTTGGGAAATCAAACTATTATCCTAAATGAGACCTGCATTTTCCTGCAAAATGGAAAAAACTGACATGTTGACAGTATCTGTTAGGTTTCAGATCGATTAGTTTTCAACTGGTCCTCAAAGCTGGTTCTTACCCCTTTTTCTCAAGGGGATTTCACAGAAGGACAGGAAGAAATTATTTCTGAAGAAAAAATTCTATTGCTAAATTGATAAAAATCAAATTAAGTACATGCAACAAAGTACCATTTCTAATTATAAATGATAGGACAAGAAACACACAAAACACAACCCATAATACTCACAACTGTCTACAAGAGAATCAAACATACTCACTGAAACCCAAGAGCAACTCTATAACAAAAGTACTATTATCCCCATTTTACACAAGTAACTTGAGGCACAGCCTTGCTAAATGACTTGCACAAGGTCTTCCACAAAGAGCTGAGATTCAAACCCAGTGTGTCTGGGTAGCCATCCTCTTAACGAATTCATTCTGCTTTCAGAGCTCTGTTAAAAACAATAGCTGTGGGCCAGGTGCAGTGGCTGACATCTGTAATCCCAGCACTTTGTGAGGCCGAGACAAAAGGATCATTTGAGTTCAAGGGTTCAAGACCAGCCTTGTCAACATGGTTAAACCATATCTCTACTAAAAATAAAACATTAGCTGGGCCTGGTGGTGAGCAACTATAATCCCAGCAACCCGGGAGGCAGAGGCAGGACAATCACTTGAACCTGGGAGGCAGAGATGGCAGTGAGCCAAGATCGGTGACAGAGCCGAGAATCCCTACCCACCCCCCAAAAAAAGAAACAACACACACACACACACACACACACACACACACACACACACGGGGGGGGGGGGAGGGGGAGAGAGAGAGAGAGAGAGAGAGAGAGACAGAGACAGAGACAGAGACAGAGACAGAGACACAATAACTGACAGGCTCCTTAAAGAGAATGGTGACATTCCAAAAGTTAACTAGACAGATAAATAGCTCACTCCTGAGTTTCTCTCCACCCTGCTCCCAACCCAACTGGCTTACATCCACAATAAACACTAAAATACCTGGTATTTCTGTCATTTCATATCACTTGAAAAGGGGGCATAAATGTAGCTCCCCAGTTTATGGAAAAGACTGCCACTATTATTGGCAAAATGTCTTCACTTCTAGCATAAGGACTACTGTCCTCAGCAACAAATCTCACAATGATTAAAGTCATAACCTTCATTATGAAACACTCCTAACTAGCATCCTCTTCAGGGTAGCAAATGAATCTGAGATAGACACACAGGATCTGGCCCAGCGTGATGGCTCACACCTATAATCCCAGCACTTTGGGAGGCCAAGGTGGGCAGACCACTTAAGGTCAGGGGTTCGAGACCTTGAGTTCAGGAGTTCATAAAACCCCGTCTCTACTAAAAATATGCAAGCCTGTAATCCCAGCTGTTCTGGAGGCTGAGGATGGAGAATCGCTTGAACCCGGGAGGCGGAGGTTGCAGTGAGCTGAGATCATGCCACTACACTGGAGCCTGAGAAACAGACTGAGACTCCATCTCAAAAAAAAAAAAAAAAAAAAAAAAAAGCATAGAATCTGTATTTGACATATGTTCTCGAGCAAGCAGACCCCTTATTAGAATCAAAACTGTATACAAGTCCCACTTCAGTGGTACTTTCCATATTAGTTGAGAAAATACTTAAGATAACATTTGTGGGATGAAACAGGAAGCAGGACCCATGTAAACTGTGTTCTAATCCTGGTCCCAGTATACACCCTCAGTTGCTGGGGAATCAATCCGAAGACAGAAATAATTCTGCAGTCATCACTTACTTCTTTCATAAACTTAGAAGCCCTAGGAAACTTATTTCTGAAGTCAGTAATGACCGCACTAAATGTGTGGACTGCACACTGGGCCCAGGTAGCACACACTCCAGGATTTGCTTCCTTCATTAATGCACTTTCCCAGTTCGACTAACAATTTTAACTAAACTCTCGAATTGAAAAAATGTAAGACAGAATTGGGCGAAACAACACTTACTTATTTCAGTAATTCAGGACAACCACAATTTCTGGAGATTTGCAGCCTAAAAGTGACCTGAAGCAGCTAAAGATACTTCACTTATTTGACCATCTCCAAACTCAATTATTAAGGTCACACTCTAGATACCTGACTACTCCTTTCTGAGTTAAAATAGCAGAATACACACCTGACCCTATGGTTTACTAACTGCCCTATGATTCCCACATTAAAGATCAAAGCTACATGATAGAGTCTAGAGCTCTCCAAGACAAGGAAACAGGTCACATAATCATTCCTACAATCTTGGAAAACCAGGTGGCACAGGTGGGCATCAACCTTGCTATAAAAATGGCTTCAAACAGCATTCTAAAGGGACACAGCTCTCACCCTCTCTCTCATCATCCCTAGCCCTGCAGACTGTCTACCACCTGGCATCTGACGGAAGTTGTGTACAATAAAAACACATCTAAACTCTTCTTTCTGGCAAAATCAATTCAATTTTTAGACAAACACTGCTCTTCTATTTCCTTTTTTTAATTAATATAGGTATTATGTAAAAAATATTTCTAAGGCAAAATCTAACTCAAAACTTATTGCTGAAGATGCTATATTCCTTCAAATTGCATAATCCAAACCTGATTTTCCAATAAATAAAAATATGCAACACTTCACAAATTTCCATGTCATCCTTGCATACAGCCATGCTAATCTTCTCTGCATTGTTCCAATGTAAACACATATGCTGCTGAAAGGATCACTCTTCTGTTTCCTCTAAAAGGCTTTTCTATAGTGGCAAGCCCGACCAAACACACCAGGCTAAGTATGTGCATATTTTTTGGTTTAAACCAAGCAGTCAGGAAACGGAGAGTAATGAAGGCAATTTATAATAATTCACTGATTATTACTGCCCATTCATTATAGTCCCGAAATCTTCCCCAACCTATAGCGTCTACCTCTGGCATCTATGTACCAGGGGTTGTCTGTGATACTGTCCCAATCCAAGCTTCCTCTCTCCTCTCACTCAAGAGGCCTCAACTTCAACTCCAGGGTTCTGTCTCCTTCTAGACACAAGCACCAAACTGTGATTGAACTATGTCTAATGTATGATTTATAAGTAGCTCTCAATGTCATTTATTAAAACAAAGCCACCACAAGTCACAATTTGAATGACAGCAATTTCAAATGTTATTTACTTATTATTCATTCTTTCAACAAGTACTTATTAAGTACCACATGCCGGGCACTGTTCCAGGTGCTTGAGGGAAATTTATGAGCCAGAAGATTCACCTCAAGAACAAAAAGATTTTGGTTCTTCCGTTTTTTTAATTATTACTTTATATTCTAGCAGAGAACACCAAAACCATGTAAACATATAAGGTATTTGAATTAGTGGCAAATGTTACTGATAGAAATCAGAGCAGGAGAGCACAGGAATGGGGGAAAGGTGAGCCATGTAGGGAGCCATAGCAACCTGCAGAGTGGATCAAGACTAATTTGAAAACAGCCTCTTCCAATCACTACCTGAACACCTTAAGGCCATCCCTTGACCTTATCTATGAACAGCAGCACTCAATTCATGGCAACCCAGAATTAGAAGGACTCACCTCAGGACACTTGGGCCTTGAGTCCAGAGGTAGTGTTTTCTCCCCAAATAAAGAGAGAAAAAAAAAGCAGCATCTCCATGATGGTTTCTAGGCAGCATGGGCCAGCAGAGGATATTTGGGGAGAGACAGGCCAAAGATAATTACCAACGTCTACTCTCCTAGGCCCAGAGCAGGGACCCCCTGCCACTAGGACAAGAGGTTCAGGTGAAAAACGTATTTAAGATGGGGAAAAAAATCTCCCCAAGTGAGAAGAAACTCATTTTATAATAATTGGTTGTTAACATGCAGTTAGGTCCACAAGTTTCTGTAACATCAGCCAGAGTGTTTCCACCAAGACTTCCTGTTCTTTTCCAGATTTGCAAGTCAAAAAACTAATGCCACAAGAAAAATACACCATTTGTGAGTCTGTACAGCATGCTGCAAATTCCACAGTGCTCACAAGGACAGCATGCTGCTGTGGCACCAACACCCTGCCTGCTTAGAGGTGAACACAGCAATCCTGGCTCAACTCAGTGTTGGCAGCAGACTTCCCAGAAAAGCTGGCACCCTTCACCAATAAATGGGAAGTCATCACTGAAGATGCACAAATGCAAGACCATATCTCTCCTTCTTCATACATCTAAAAACGAGATATTACAGTGTACACACTCAGGCACACACAGCAAACAGAATGGGACTTTCTCATCCATGACAACTGACTGCTGGAAAGTATTCTAGATTTTCCTATTTCCATGTGGTACCACAGCTCCTTGCTATTCTAAGTCAGCATATTCTTCCTAACCATCAAAAGGAGATCAGGAAGCAGAGAAGTGCCACTGCTTAACTCTGCAATGTACAAAAGGGCTCCTGCGGCAATCCATTAACAGCATTGAATTCTTTCCTAAGAAGATTGTTTAAAAATGAGCAACATAAACCGAAAACTCCATAGACTTTATAGAAGGCACTATTCTGAAACTGGAGGCTGCAGCTTGGTTTATGGTTAAGATGCTGAACGGAGAACACCAGCATTCTGTCTGAACAACAAGGCTTGGGTCTATCAATATGTTTGCTTGTTTTGTCCTCCAACGCGGTGGTGAGGGGTAACGGTAAGGGCAGAATCTGGCCAGATCATCTCTCAGTTACTAGGTTATTTCAGTGTGTGTAAAAGAGAAGGTAGTTTTAATGCCCACTTGAGAGAAAAAAAAAAAAAAAACAGGGAATAACAGAAAGACCAGGCCAGCCTTACAGGGAAGAAAAGGAGAAACAGACAACGAGCAAGTCACAAGAAGAGCACGGAAAGACAGAAAAGAGACTACTGAACCACAGCAAGAAGGAGCAAACGATACACACAGCCTGGATGAATCGCAAACCAAAGCAAAGGGATGTAGATACAGAAGTGTTTCCATCTATATGGCACCTACAACAGGAAATGCTGATCTTCAGTGCGAGAAAGCAGGCCGGTGTTGTCATGGGGGCTCTGGGCAGGAGCACAAGGGAGTTTTCTCAGGTAACAGGAGGTGCACAGCTTGATGTGATGGTAATACCCAGGTGTGTGCAGTTATCCTAAGTTATCACAGCATACATCTGAAATGGTTGCATGCGTAAATTTTACTTCAATAAGATTGGTTTTTTTAAATATCCAAACTGAGGTAGAAATGTTTTGGGGGTTTTTTAATCCAGAACAGTAGGGGTGCGTATGTAGAATGAGCTCTGAAAAGTTGTTAGGTTAAACTGATTTCTCCGGAAAATAGCTATCCAAACTAAATGAAAGTTAATGCCAAAAGCCACACCTCTGGCAATACAATCCAGGGACCTGGTCCAAATGTGGAAATTTTCCCCAAGTTTCATGTGGTTAAAAGTGACTTATTAAAAACTATCTTACAATACAAACTCCCTTTCAGGGCTTAGAGTATTAAGAGGAAAATAAAATTTTAAGAAAAATATGAAAGAAAAATAACCCAGAAGTCACCTTTTTTGCAAGCCGAATCGGAGTGCCATCTGTGGCTTGTGTTAAGGAACTGCTTTTGTGTAGTGCAGGACAGCAGATCTAATATTCACCTAAGGGGAAGAAAAGGTTTGCTCACAAGACTTCAGACTTTTTCTAACGTGTAAGTGTACCAGAGAGGCTCGCCGCGCTCAGGACTGGGACAAGGAGACGTGAGGCTGGTGTGATGGGCTCTGCCAGGGAGTTATTGGATTAGGAGCGAGGATAATAAGAATCCTCTAAAATTCCAGCTCCTACGGCCACAAGCCCCATTGATACGCCATGCAGAAGGGTCTCTGAGACCAACAGCTTATTACAGAACTATTACAGCAACTGTGTCACTGAAAATGTGCATGTTAGCCTTGGAACTAACATACCCACATCCCAAAGGATGTGAAATCCTCATACTCACTCCATGAGTGTTCCCATTCCCACAAAGGGGCTGGGCAGGCAGCCGTGAGAAGACAACTCAGTATGAACAGGGCACAGAAAATTAGAACGAATTCCCAGAGTTGGAATCAGCCTGCAGCCCACAACCAAAGTCAGCTCAGTTTCTGGCACAAAATTATTTACAAGTCATCCTGGCAGGAGTCATATCCAAGATTTTAAGACAATAATCTTGGTCTAAATCTCAACTTCCAGAATTGGGCCACCACACAGCCAAGGGGGATGGGTACTCTGCAAACTGAAATCCCATCTCCCGGAAGATCTCAGAACACTTAGGCCCATTCCATCTCTGCACCTGCAGAAGCTTATGTAGGAGAGGGCATTCCCTTCCCTCCAGAACTATCCAGCAAGAAATGCAGAGGGGAACACAGCCCAGAAACAGAGGAGAAGGGAGGAGGCCAAGGCATTCATAGCCCAGCTTGTGCCATCTTAAGCATCCCTGAAGCAGAGTCCAGGGCCATCCTTGTTTAATTCAGCTGGCATTTTCCTATGTAAATCATCCTTTCTGTTTTGGTTGGAGTAATGTGGGAGAGGGTGATCTATTAATACTATCTACAAAGGGTAGGTTCAACAGGCCAGGTTCACTGTGACTAGTGATTTGTAAATACTGATTTTCAGGCCGGGCGCGGTGGCTCAAGCCTGTAATCCCAGCACTTTGGGAGGCTGAGGCAGGTGGATCACGAGGTCAAGAGATCGAGACCATCCTGGTCAACATGGTGAAACCCCGTTCTCTATTAAAAATACAAAAAAAATAGCTAGGCATGGTGGCGCATGCCTGTAATCCCAGCTACTCAGGAGGCTGAGGCAGGAGAATTGCCTGAACCCAGGAGGCGGAGGTTGTGGTGAGCCGAGAACACGCCATTGCACTCCAGCCTGGGTAACAAGAGCGAAACTCCGTCTCAAAAAAAAAAAAAACAAAAACAAAAAAAACTGATTTTCTTAATTTTATTCCACAAAGAGGCTATGCAGGAAGCATCATTTTTTATACCATTTCTTCTGCAGGGTTTTGATAAAAACTAATATTCATGTATTTTTACATAAATCACATGCTTGTTTTGCTCTAACAAGTAGCAGGAGGCAAAGGCATTTGTGCAGCACCTCTGAAAATTAAATTACCTATCTGGAATTCATCTGCTTCACCAGAGACACTCAGCCCCAGCCCATCCAGCCAACCTGGGAAAGCCTCCCTGGCTTTAATCTCATTAAGAGTCCAAAATCCACAGCCTTAAACCAACAGAACATTCTCTTTTCCCGCTGGGTCCCCGACTTTCTTCTTCAGAAAAGGAGGCTTTCTAGGTACCTTTTTTGTTTGTTTATTACAGAGTAATACACATTTCCTGGAGAAAATATTGATAAGCCTTATTTCCTGAGCATCCATCCCTCTTTCATGCCACTTCTCATCTCTGGGCCTTCCACTTTCACTGTGGAACACACTCCTCACCAGTCTCATCTGCACCTGCCTAATCACTGTCCTTCAAGTCTGCTTTCATCCCTCAGTGTAGATTAGTTGACCCTCCGACCTGTGCCTACACCAATTCATTTGTCAAAGCATACATACATACATACACACACGTGTATATATTTATATATGCTTTATAGATTACATGTGTACATATATTTACAAAATTTACCAAGATTAAACAAAAAAATTAAACTGTACATACTGTTTTCTCACTTGCTTTTTTAACTTACTACTTTGTCAGTCAACATTCTTGCTACCATATCATTTTAATGACTGCAC